TATATATATTTGAAGAAGAAGAAGAAATATGACTGCCTTTTTGTTGAAAATATAATTTAAGAAAATCATAAAATGGTAAATAACATTATAAAAACATTTTTCAATAGTTTAGAAGACATTATCAAATTAAAAAAAAATTAGGAATGTTTTTATTTACTTGATTTGAAAAAATTGTGCAACAATAAAAATAAGTGAAAAAATAAAACAAAATTTGAAAAGAAATTAATTTTTACCGGAAGTGAGAATTTCTTTTTGAAATATGATATAAATATAAATAAGAGTATCACTGTAAGTGAAATAATTTTATCTAATTGTATGTTAAATAATATTTGAAACAATTTTAAGAATTGTGGGTAGTGAAACGAATTCTAAATCTTTTTTGATTTATGCATAATTTCTTAAAAGGATTATGAGTTCTTTAAATTTGTAATTTGATATTGTTCTTAATTGAATTGGTTGAAATAATTAACATGTTATGTGTTGTGTTATTAAATTTTAAAAGACTTGATTTCAAATCTTATTAATACAATTGGTGTTATGTATTTTCATAAATATTTATTATTACATCGTATATATTTATTATTATATCATTATTAAATTGATGGAGATTAATGCATATTAAATTGATTGTGATTTATACAAGAATAATGGAATTTAATGAAAATATGATTAATTTTTATTTCTTTTTTTAATACATTTATAAGGAGAATAATTTCTCTAATTTTTAACATTATTTTTTCCTTAAAGTCAACCTAACAATGATATATTAAGTGATTTTTTTAATCATTATAATGAGAAAGATTAACTTTAAAAAAAATAAAAGATGTAAACACTAAAAAGCTATGATTTTTTCAAATATGATTGTGTTGCGTGATTACTGGTAGTTGATTTTAATAATTTTTTAAAATTTTTCTTGTGTTCATTTCCTAAAATAATAAAATAAAGTGTTATTAAAATATGTCTTTGAAATATTTTTCTTGTACGAAACATTTATTTATAGATTATAGTAAAAAGAACAAATAAGACAACATGAGAGAGAAAAAAGAATATGATTAATATATTATCTTTGAGAGATGACTAGTCTATTTTTTTATAAGTATATATGATAACTAAATAATTACACATAAAAAAAAATAATACATAACATAAATATAAATGATAATAATTGATAATAAATATTAATATCCACTAATTAAATTACCAATTATTATTTCTAAAATAAAATAAATATTAGTTAAATTACTAGTTTAGGGATAGCTTTAAAAAAGAAAAAAATTATCTTCATTAATAAGACTAGCTTTTCTTAATCTTCGTATGTTATTGTAATTTTTTTTTTACAAGTGTTATGTATTTTTAGGATGGTATTACAGTATATTTAATTAAGGTTTTTCCTTCAGTAAATATCTGTTATCGCATTTAATGAATTTTTTTTCTTCAAATTATGACATAATTAATGAAGGCTTATACTACATTTGTTTCACAATAATTATTATGTTTGAAAAAAAATACCATGTTAGTTATTTAATTTATATTCCTTATAATATTTTTAAATATAGTTATTGTATTGTATGCATTTTAAAAAATTAATCATAAAATTAATTATATTATATTATTATTTTATTTATTGATTGATTTATTTTTATCGGTGTAAAACAACACGACATTCATTACTATAGAGAGAGGGATTAGAAGTTGTCATGGATTCAGAATTAACTTCCGTTCTCCAATTTATCATTTTCTCTAAAAATAAAATAAAATCAAACACTGGTCATTTTATTTACTTTATTTCTATCATTAATCACGAATAAATTTATATACTGTTCGAATAAAATATGTTGTTTAACTTACATTATCTTCACAGAAAAAGAAAACAGAGAAAGAGAAAGTAATTGCGAGATTAATTAATAATTAGTACGGGTAATTATAATAAACCTTGTAGGTGAGGCAATGCCCTAGTGTAAGGCCCAAACAGAGAAGTGGGGTCGGATTCGGTAGTAAATTCGGTCAACTTGAATTCGGTAGTGCAGCCGTGTATGTATGCCCTTATCATCATCAAACACACCACTGCTGCTTCACTCACTGGACACTGTCACAACTCACAACCAAAACCCATTCACTACACCCTCCAACACAAATCTATATATGCATTCATGTCCTCACTCATCTTACCTTACACCTGCACTCACGGTTACGCCCCTAATTTCCCCTTCAAATTCAACCGTTTCTCTCCCCGAACCGTGACGGTTCGCGCGGCGGTTTCATCCCCGGACAAGCGGAGCAGGAAGAAGAAGCCGGCGAAGGATGACGAAACCGCACTTGAGAACGGCCTCCGTTTCAGCTTCATGGAGGAGCTCATGGACCGCGCCAGGAGCCGCGACTCAAACGGCGTGTCGGAAGTCATGTACGACATGATCGCCGCTGGCCTCAACCCCGGTCCGCGGTCGTTTCATGGCTTGGTAGTGTCTCACGCCCTTAACGGCGACGAAGAAGCTGCGGTATGTTAGTTTCTCTACCACGATGCCAAATGCCGTTTCTGCCAAGTGAATTTAACCGATTGTTGTTTTGTTTCGTAGATGGAATCGCTGAGAAGAGAGTTGGCTGCGGGGCTTCGACCGGTTCACGAGACCTTCTTGGCATTGGTGAGGTTGTTTGGGTCCAAAGGTCGCGCCACTCGAGGTCTAGAAATACTTGCAGCTATGGAGAAGCTAAATTATGATATTCGCCAAGCTTGGATTGTCCTTATTGGTATATTCATTTATCATATTGCTATTTATGTTCTATTTGGATAAAATTCTTCATGAGCATTTATAGATAAGAAAATAGGAAGCTAAAATGAATTTAGTTGACTAGAGATATGGTCATAATAGTGTATATAATTAGGGAGCAATTCTCACCTTACAAGCTCATCTCGTAAGGTTGAGTTAGACCTATAATTCACTTTCTTACCATAGTTTATCTCAACAATTATTGGTTGTTGTTTGGTCTATCGTGTCACCGGCTATCATGCTACTATGGGAACATTGGATATGTCCGGTCCCCAGTGTGAGGGATGTGTGTTAAAGATCTCAATTCGACTAAAAATAAGGCCATATTAGTGCATATTAGTAGGGAACAATCATCATCTTACAAGCTGATTTATGAGGTTGAGTTAGGCCCATATTCCACTTTCTTAAGATCTCATAAGCTAAAATTAACTTATGAACTTAACTTTTATAGAAACTCTCATTTAACTTTTAAGTTTTTATGGAGAAAATTTATCCAAACATAATGTTACTTATTGTTTTTGTTTTGGTCTCTTCTTTATGGTGTGTTTTAATTGGTGTGTTATGTAGAGGAACTTGTTCAGAACAAGCATTTGGAAGATGCCAACCAAGTGTTCCTGAAGGGTGCCAAGGGTGGCCTTAGAGCTACTGATGAGGTTTATGATCTTCTCATAGAGGAAGACTGCAAAGTAGGGGACCATTCTAATGCCTTGGACATTGCCTATGAGATGGAGGCGGCTGGCCGGATGGCAACCACATTTCATTTCAATTGCCTCCTCAGTGTGCAGGTTACCTTCCTCGATTTAGTTTTTCTTTGATTCTAGAGGTCAGTTTGGGTGACCTTTGGATTGTCTTTTTTTTCATTATCAGATGTTGGTAATGATGTTGTTTATAATTATGAAAGTGTCATGTTGTTTTTACACTGTTTCCTGTCTCCTAGAATTTTCAAGGGAAATGGTGAAATCAATATCATCAGGTGCTGTTTTTTATGACTATTAGTGGTTGGTTTTGTGTCATCTTAAAAATGGGATTGAAAACGTTTAGGGGTCCTTTTTTCTCTAGAAAAAAAAATCTTTCATACATATCTTGTACCTTCATTTTTCTCTGTCCATCAAACTGATCATTGGATTTAATTATGTGACTCCTATCCTACGGCAATGATTCTTATCATTGTATGGATAAGTGCTTTTTGAAAACATCTATCAAATCCTTCTTGCTTCATGATTTTTCATTATATTTGTTACTATATAATCTGTTGAGGTAATTGATATGGAATATGATACAATGGTTCTTCAGTTTTACATGTTTAAGGCAAACGATGCTGAGCTTCTGGTTTTTTTTTTTTAATTAGCTTTTCAAATTTCAATTAGCTGTGATAAAGCAAATTATGAGCTTGTTTGATCTTCTCCTTGCATTATGTTTTTTTAATATTATTTCTTTCAAATTAATTAGGCTACCTGCGGAATACCTGAAATAGCTTTTGCAACATTTGAGAATATGGAATATGGAGAAGGTTTGCAGTTTATGTCTCCTGTCTCTTCGTCCTCCTTTTCTGATGCTTATATTTGTTTACTTATAAAAATTTCATTTACCATTTTAAGGGCAGCTTGTTTCTACTTCTTATACTCTTGTTTCACAATCATTTTTCAATTCTCATGGCATTTTCTTATTTTTCATTTTTTTTTTGTTTCTATGTTGTTGGATGTGGGGCTCTCTTTTCTAAATTGTTGAGGTCTCTTTCTTCATTATTAATTCTATGTTAGGTAAATTATCTTTAATTTGTTTCATAACAGATTATATGAAGCCTGATACCGAGACATACAACTGGGTTATTCAAGCATATACTAGAGCTGAATCTTATGACAGGTTAGATATTTAAACACTCTGATGTTTCCCATTAAAATTCTTTAATTAAATATATCATGGATTGAGTTATATTTGTTATGATGTGATCCAATTAAACTTGTTTCTGTGTGACTTCTAGAGTACAAGATGTTGCTGAGTTACTTGGCATGATGGTTGAAGATCACAAACGGATACAGCCAAATGTGAAGACCCATGCGTAAGACACATATTTTTAGCATTGTTAACCCTATATCCTAAAAAGAGTAAACATTGTTAGAGTAAAGCAAGAATATACTGAGGAGGGGGGGGGGATGAGGTCCTTCCTAATCCAAAAAGTGAAAAGGAAAAAACAATGAGGCTAAAAATTGCTACAAAACCGGGTCAGTCAGGAAATTTCCCTTAAAAACAATAATGAGTGAGCACCCTAGCGAAAATATAAACATGAATCTTTAGCATAACAATTGTATGGGCTAAGAGTTCCCTTGAAAACAAGAGCATACTTCTCCAATCAAATATATAGATTTTAGTGATACTGCCTACTAACAAGGAGTATACTTCACACCAATGACGAAAAGCATGTTTGGATGCATGATATACTCCATAGGCTCATGTTCCATTGCTCCTTTTACCAAGAAGAAAAAATTGTATATTTCATATGAATGTGGGTTTGGGACCTGTTAAATGAAAAAATAAACATAAAACATGCTATAAGTAGTCTCCACTCAACTATATATTGACTCTTAGTGTTTCTGTGCCATTCTTTAATTTGAAAATTTTCTTCTATTTTCTGAAGGATCCTTGGATTATCAGGTAAACTGAGTAATGACCTGTAGTTTTTTAGGGACCATATAGGAAGTTACCCATTAAGCTGTTTTATTTAAATGAAAAATAATTTCCTATTGGTGATGAATTTTGTAATATATGTCTATGAAATGCCCTCTTGATCTAATTAATACAATACTGTCTCTTCAGGTTGTTAGTGGAGTGTTTCACCAAGTACTGTGTGGTACGTGAAGCTATTAGGCATTTCCGTGCCCTTAAAAACTTTGAAGGGGGTACAAAAGTTCTACATAATGAAGGGAACCATGGAGATCCACTTTCTTTGTATCTTCGGGCATTATGTCGGGAAGGTATGCTATACTGGCTATGTATTTTTAGTTTTCTCATTCTTAGATAATGTTGTCTTTATTGGTATAAAAATTTAAAATCCATTCAATCAACCTTAAGAGATTGAGTGAGTGAAATGGGACATGGTCTCGCATTTGACAAGTCACAATTTTGAACCTTCACTTGTCTCCTTGAGGTGAAGTAAATGTAAGCCTTTCATAAGTATTCTTTGAAACCAGAGGCTTTCCCTTCATTGAATTGGGGCATCATCTCCCTAACCTAAAACACTTGTTGCCCAAGAAAAAATCACCCCTTCTATATGAAATGTAAGTAGATCGATGACATGTATTCTACAGTAGTAATAAAATTTCAGCACATTCAGGGGAGTAGTTGATGGGTAATCTACCTTGCCACTACATGTAGATGATCTGGTTCCACAAGACATAATCATTTCCTCGGAAGTTATTTTCTTATATGTTTGTTGCCCTTGTAAAGACCAAGAACTTTGTAACTAATGATAGTCATCATGATATTGCACTTCTCTGTCATTGTCTTGGAATGCTTTGCCTCAACCTACTGTCATAATTCAGGAAGAATTGTTGAAATGCTTGAAGCTTTAGAAGCTTTGGCCAAAGATAACCAGCCAATCCCCTCACGGGCAATGATATTGAGCAGAAAATACCGGACATTAGTGAGCTCATGGATTGAACCTTTACAAGAGGAGGCTGAACTTGGCTATGAGATTGATTATATTGCTAGGTATTGTTTCTATTTCAGCAAGAGTTGCTATTTTTTATGTTGTTGTTGTGGTGGTTATTGTTGTTAACTTGTTATTATTATTTTGATCTAACTACTTATTTTATTTATGTTTGCATATATAATTATTATATAGTCTCAGCTAGGGAACTGAAACCTGAATTGAAATTATTATAAAATTTGACATGTTTTTTTTTCTTTGTTTCTTTTATTTCAATTAGTGGTTTCATCTGGATTATTTTTATGCTGTCAAAGAGCAGTGTGCACACTAAATGCACGTTAAATTACCTCTTGATCCGTAAATTGTGTTTCTATGGTTTGTGTTTGTGTGCAGCTTAGTTTGCCTACCAGGGGTAACTTTAATATTTTGAAAGTAGCCTATATTGGCAAAATAGGGGAAATCAAAATAAGCAGCGGTCCTAAGAATTTGCAGTAAATTTTCTAGTTAGAAAAGTTTACAACTTTTTCTTTTTTTCTTTTTATTCTTATTTAATGCAGGCATGTTCTATCACTTATCTAGTATGTGTTAGTTGATAGGCTTAATGAACTAATGCTTATTATTGTGTTGATTTGTTTTTTTAATGTGTTGATTGCTATTAATTGAAACAGATATATTGCAGAGGGTGGCCTAACTGGGGAGCGCAAGCGGTGGGTGCCTCGAAGAGGTAAAACACCTCTAGATCCTGATGCTCATGGATTTATTTATTCAAACCCAATGGAGACCTCCTTCAAACAAAGATGCCAGGAGGAGTTGAAGTTGTACAATAAAAAGCTTCTAAAGACGTTGCAGAATGAAGGACTTGCAGCTTTAGGGGATGGTGTATCTGAATCTGATTATATTAGAGTGCAGGAGAGGCTAAAGAAACTCATAAAGGGACCTGACCAGAATGTTTTAAAGCCTAAAGCTGCTAGTAAAATGCTTGTGTCTGAATTGAAGGAAGAACTAGAAGCACAAGGTTTGCCAACTGATGGAACCAGAAATGTTCTTTACCAGCGAGTACAGAAAGCAAGGAGAATAAATCGTTCTCGTGGTAGGCCCCTTTGGGTTCCTCCCATTGAAGAGGAGGAAGAAGAGGTTGATTCTTCATTTGTTTAAGTTAAATACGTTTTTCTTTTCTCTGCATCTTGATCCTTAATATATATGCCTAAACTTAAATGTGATTCATGTTCCAGGTGGATGAAGAGCTGGATGCATTAATTTCACGTATACAGCTGCAGGAAGGAAATACAGAGTTCTGGAAACGTCGCTTTTTAGGAGAAGGCTTAACTGGTGATCAGGAAATGCCAACGGATGCAGGTAAAGCAGAGGTCCCAGAAGTTCCAGATGACATTGATGCTATAGAAGATGCTGCAAAAGAGGTTGAAGATGATGAAGTGGATGAGGAGGAGGAGGAAGCAGAACAGGCTGAAGAGGAAGTAGAACCAGCAGAAACCCAAGATGTAAACAGGATAAAGGACAAGGAAGTTGAAGCTAAAAAGCCTCTTCAAATGATTGGAGTCCAGTTATTGAAAGATTCTGATCAACCTACTACCACATCTAAAAAGTTTAGGAAGTCTTCCAAATTTCATGTTCAGGTACATAGATAATTACATGATATTCTTCTTTTCCTTTGTAAGTTTGGGTAGGAGAGTGAGGTTCTGCAACCTGTTTAGACATACAGGCAATTGTCTTCATACAAAAGATCCCAAAATATTGGGATGTAATAACTAACATGATAAAACTGATAAAGGAGCCTGAGATTTTGGTATGAGAATTTCATCCTGTACAGCTCAAACAAAATACTCCAATATTGGTTGTAATGAAAGCAGATATGTATAATAGAAGTTTGAAACTTCTTTATTTAATCTAATACTATGATTATAATTTTCTTCTAATGATAAGAAAATTATAAATACAAAAGCTACTCTTTTGGGTTATAATGCCAAAATTCAAGTTGGCTCACTCCTCTTTATCTTTTATCTTGATCTTTTCAGGCCTCTTGAATATTTACTTTATTTTTCATTTGTGTGGAATGTGAATATGTGATTGATTCAGTTCCATATCTAAAGATCGTAATTTTCAAACAAGCAATCAAAAAGATTCTGGAGCACATGTAGGTTTAGGTATTGTTCCTCCTATGATCGTAGTCCGAAGTACTTCTTGGAGAGTTTCATGTTTGGACCATGAATCCACATTCACTTCAACATTATGTTTTTTTCAATCATTGTTGCAGTTTTTACATTATGAGAACATTTTGTTGTTGGTGAATCTAATCTTGCTTCCTGGCAGGATGATGATGATGATGATTGGTTCCCCCTGGACCTGTTTGAGGCGTTTAAGGAAATGAGGAAGCGGAAAATTTTTGATGTGTCAGACATGTATACATTGGCAGATGCTTGGGGATGGACATGGGAGAGAGAACTGAAGAACAAACCCCCTCGTAAATGGTCACAGGAATGGGAAGTTGAGTTGGCAATCAAAGTTATGCAGAAGGTATATAACTAAACCTTGACTATTTTTTCCGTTTAACTGCAACCTTGCTTCTTGTTGAAATGGTTTTAAATGATCAAACTCCTCAGTTTCTTGACAGACAGCAGAATTACTGACTCTTCACATGTACCAAATAAAAACTATATAACACTTCACTTGAAAGTAAACTTAAATCCAAAATGATGTATAATGAATGACACTAAATTTCGTATTTTGATTTTGATAGTTTTAATTATCTTGTACTCATGATTGACATGCTCTTATATTAAGACATCTATTTTCATACAGGTTTCAACCATCAGTGTATTTGATGCCACAATAAAATTTATATTCACTTCTAGGTTGGAACTTTTAACAAAAAGGCTTTTACACCTTTGGAAAAGACTCAGGCTCTGTCATTTGGCTTTTAGTTCTACTTAATGAGCGTGTTTTGGTTATTTTAAGTAGCTGATAGTCGAATAAAAAATGAAAGTGTTTTATTTTATTGTATTTTATGCTTTTGTTGGTTAACTGTCTTTGTTTTTTGATACCCATACTTGGTAGGGGTTGGGGATATTATTGTATCCCCTGTTTTAGTTTCTTCCCTCCTTTATACTAGTGAAGGTCAGAATCCAGAAGTTCCATTAGTTTGAGACTTTGGGTGCTGTTGCTTATTCCGTAAATTATTTTTAGTTCCAATTTCTGAGTTTATTCATTCACTCAATGAGGAAACTGAATATCATAAAAACTACAACATCCATTCCTTTAGAATAGTTGTTTAAGGTTTTTTATACAAAGCAAGAAACATAATAAATTTACCTATTTTCCATGGAATGATTTTAATGTTTCCTATTATACCCTCTTTCTTTTTTTTTTTTCATAATAAATGCATATTAATTGTCATGTATAAATTAATTAAAAATTAGGTGAAATATAAGGATATAATCGATAACATAACAATTAATGTTGTCTTGAAATTCGAAAATGACTAGTAAATAGAAACAAAATTTTACTAAAATCCGACAGATAAAAAGGAATAGAGAGAATATGAAATATACTGTGAGAAAGATTCATCAAAGCCTCACTACCATTTTACATACTGAATACTGGAGGATATCCCTCTACATTTGTTATTTGTTAAATGTAAGGAATACTATTGAGATTATGTTTTCAGGTTATCACTTTTTTTCCTGAAATTTGGCTTATATATTACAATTTAGTAAAGATATATTCATCATTCTTGTAAATATTGCTGAGACTTCCACTAATTATGTTTTAAGTTTGAAGCTCCCTCTGATTTATGATGTTAACACATTCAATAAATAGTTATTATTAGCAAATAGCAATACTACTTTGATCATTTTGGATTTATTTAACCTAACAACATTCTTCAGTCATATGGTGTGTCTTTGTTGAATGAGATTCTGGGCTGTACTGTACAGGTCATAGAATTGGGAGGGACACCAACTATAGGAGATTGTGCCATGATATTGCGTGCAGCTATAAGGGCACCTCTACCTTCTGCTTTCTTGACAATTTTGCAAACAACTCATGGCCTTGGTTATAAGTTTGGGAGGTAATCCTATTTTCTTTATACAACAATACTCTTGTTCGAGTGAGTAACCCAACCCAAACAACAAAAATCTAGACCTTTTATATGCTTGATCAGGGGGGAAGAAAACTAAACCAACTGAGATTTCCGAGGAAAGAATTACCATCCTAAATTATATGAATTAACTGTTCCTCATTATAGTTCACTATTTTAAGGACACTTGTTAAGGAATGAAAAATAGAAAGTATTTAATGATGCATTTGTGAACTTAAAATATTTTACATTCTTTAATACTTTCCAATTTTGAGTTTTAACAAGTGACTTAGTAGCGCCCTTTACCTTTGTCATTTTACATTTCAAGAAACTCTCTTTTCCAATTTGTGGCTCTAGACTTTAAGGTTGGGAGGGCTTAAATAGTCATCACGGTTCCCTATAGAGCTAAAGCATAATGGACTGCATAATTCACCTTGGAATGAAAAAGTGAAAAAACTGTGTATTACTGCCGTGTTTAAAAATGAGATGTTGGATTTAACTACTGTGTGCTTTGTTTTTTTTTGAATTCCTATCGTTGAAGGCATAACTGTTTGACTGGGTTGGATTAGATTATGCAACGTTTTATTCACTATGATTACGAACTGCAAAATGAAGGCAATCTTTGGTTTTCTGCCATCCCGAGTCTTGGTTTTCAGCTTACTGTTTCCCCATTTCCCCCCATGTTACAGTCCTCTTTATGATGAGATCATCTCTCTCTGCGTTGATCTTGGGGAACTGGATGCGGCTGTTGCTGTAGTTGCAGATTTGGAAACCACAGGGATCTCGGTTTCAGACCAGACTTTGGATAGGGTGATTTCTGCCAAACAGAGGATTGACAATACCTCCAATGGTGACATAACGGATGCAGGATTGTAAAACTATATCTCCATGCTGTACTGGTTGTAGTTTAATGTATCATGATTGATCATTGCACAAATGTGCAAATTTTGTGCTGAGCCTAATGTATGTATAGTATCAGGCCTAGAAAGTTTACCAAAATTAGTAGCATTTGTTCTCTTCTCTCCCAGCTTTCAGTTCTCTTCTACTCCGCCACCATCTATTGTTTCAAAATGAAGCAACGACAGGCATCACTGTTGGTACGACAATGCTTATTCATTCCACCGACACGAAATGATGCTGTTGAAAATTCAACGTCACCAACCAACCAATAACTCGGATTTCACGGTGGATAATAGTGTGATTATATTGTCAAGACTCGATCCACTTCATTGACTGATTAGTACTATATTTCATATAAAATGTTTAAAATTGTTAATAACAATTATTGAAGGAGTTAATGACATATATAGGACTCGGATCTAGTTCTTCTAAAGTGATGAAATTGTGCTTTAAGTATAAACTGCATCAATAACCATTATTTTATATTTTTATTTTATAAGAAATTGATTTTATCACATATTTTAGTTATTAATTTTATAATTAACAATTGTGAGTTTATTTTATTTTCTAAAGTATATTCTTATTTTAAAAGAGTTAAATTCCCAATTTCCAATTATAGTCATTAGTTAGGTGCATGCAATAGTGTTGAAGCAAGATTTGAATATGTTTGAATTTTTTGTAAGCACTTTTAATAGAGTTGTGAAAATGGGTCAGTTTGATCCTTTTAATTCGGCCTACCTCAATCCATTTTTTAAGCGCCCAACTCATAAACCCTAAACATGGCTGAATGGTTAAAGCGCCCAACTCATAATTGGCGAATTCGTAGGTTCAATTCCTACTGGATGCACGCCAATGGGACCCTCCCTCCAATAAGTCTATCGGATTTTTGTTCAAGAATGAAATCTTATTGGAACTGTCCAGTTCATCCTTCGGAACCATATCACATCCCGGATATGATGAAATAGGATGAATTGAGACGGTATTTTGTAAGTACATAATTATCTTGAATAAATTCACTATTTCTTTATTTTCCGATCGCCTGGAAAGAACAAGATGTTTAAGAGGCTGATCTTTGAATAGGAAAAAGAGTGGATCCGCAGGATCCCAAATGAATTGGCTTATTTGAAAAAAGCCTTGTTCTTTGGAAGATCTATCTCGTGTCTGGTACTGCACGGTTCCACCCTGCAAGAACCTGATCTATCAAATTTGTTGTTCAAAATTTCTTAATTTAGTTCCATTATGGATTGGTGGGCTAAACGGGTTAATTCATCAACTTACCTAATTTTTTTTAAATTCTAATTTTAAATAAACTTTGTTATAAAATAATTTTTAATCTAAAGTAAAAATTATTAAACTAAGTATCATGCATACAACATTAAATTTAAATTAAATAATACATATATAATAATAAATAATTAAGTGAGTTGTTAGTGAATTGGATTGATAGGGGTATAAGTGGGTTAGGTAAGCAGTCCGGTCAGTCACGGGCTAAACCCGGATGGGCCAGGTCAAAAGTGGATCGAGTTACATTTTTTGATTCATTATGAATTTTTTCATTTTTTTTGGTTAAGCCCAACCCATTTTCAAGGTGGATCAGGTTGATTTACGGGTCGAAACCTACTTTGACGGCTCTAACTTTTAACATAAGAAAATGAGAAAGAAAAAATGAAATAAGTTTTTTTTATAAGTTCAATTTTAAATTTTTGGAGAAATTTTGTTTGTTTTTTATATTTTATTCTCCTATAAGTGTTTATATATATATTAAGTTTAATCAAATGGATTTATTCTATTAACAATGGAAACTACTCCTGCTCAGCCTTGCAAATGCAACGTAGGAATGAACAATTGTAGTTTATCTTCTTTGTATTTTCTGATATCGTTGAGCATCTTGTCAATTTATGTTGTGTGCTTTGACACAAGGAACTTAGTTTTTGTCAAATCGGCTTCACATGAAAAAAAATAATAATAACAAAATTGTATGAGAAGAAGCAATGGATGTGCAAAATCTCACAAGAGAAGGCAATAGAGGACAATAAAGAGCAATGCTAGAGGAAGTGAGAGGATGAAAGAGCCTGGAGAGTGGAGGGAGCAAATATGAAGAGACTGAGATAAGATTTTGTAGCCGGAAACATAGCCCAAAAACATGTTACAAATAAAATAAAAATGTTCAGTCAATGCAAGGTCACAAGAGGTAATTTTGGGAATTCTGGTGGTAATTATCAATTTATCATGGCAGATGGTGGCAGAAATAATGGTAAATCTGACAAGGACAGAGAATGTGGAAAATTTGACCATAAAGCCTGGTAATGCTAAGTTAGCTAGGTCTGATCAGAACATTCATGGCTAAATCATCTAACAATACTTTGTGCCGGCTGCATTAGCTACTGATCCTGCATGGTTCTCTAACGCTGGGCCTATCAAACATCTTATCCATGAGGACCTATCATCTCACACCAAAATGCCACCTATGATGGTAATAACAAAGTTTTAGTGGACAACAATGGCACAGTTTTGGGTATTCAATATGGCATCTGAAATTTCTTTCTCTCTGCCTCGGTTGTAGTCATCATATGATAGTTAACATATTCATTCTTTAGTCATAACATTCACTCTAAAACGCTCATTTCTCACTCTTTAATCTCTCCCTTTGCTTCCCCTCTTCTAAAATTTATAAGATGTTTTTGCTTTAACTATATTGTTCTCTTGTCAAACATTAATTCATTGGCCGCATCAAATTGTTGGTCTAGTCAAATCATGTAAGAATATGGTCACGTGGCTCAGTGTGAAAAGAATAAGGAGGCAAACATCACATTTGGAACAGTGGTTCATGCATCCTGTTTTTCATATGTACACCTTTCATTTGCATCAGTACAATGCTGCCACTTCAACCCCAAACCATTATCTATACGTGATTGTACAGCAACCACTATAAGAGGCACCCATAATTCTTCTTGCTCAAACTATGCACATTTTCTTTCTTGACTTAACCTTTGGCATGCAAGTTGCAACAAATCCAATTAATATTAATGTTACTCACACATTCACACTTGTACACGTAATATTTCACACGTCATTTTATCATAACTTTTCCCACTAAAATTTCCATGCACTTATGCTTTAATTGAATATAACTATTTGAACGTGAACTCAGACTTTAAAATGAAAAGTAAATGTTTTTTAAAATTAATTTAAAAAAACAATTTTTTCATAATTTGAGATCGAATTCAATTTCTCTTATATTTTATATCTTTTCATGCAAACTTACGTTATCATAATTCTACTGAAAATCTTTAAAAAATTAATGATTAATTTTGACTTTACATAAAGTTATACCTTACCCTAATCTAAACATTAATATACAAAAAAAAAATGTTTCACAAATTATGATAAAAATATTAGAAAAATCAATTCAAACTATATATGATCTAAACAGATTTAGAGTTTTAATATAAAAAAATCTAATTATTAGAATATTCACATATAGAAAGAGAGAATTGAGATAAGAGAAGCAATAATTCTTGAATATGTTTTCATTTAAGAATGATTAATAAAAAAAATATATTTAAAAACATTTTCATTCAATAACATTGAGAATTTAAATTTACAATATAGGAACAGAAGAGCCAATTGTAAAAAATTGGTCGTTCAATATTCATCGTCACTTGTACTTTGGCATTAAATATCTTCCCTAAATGGTGCAGCATTCCGCCAACAAAATATTTACGCAGAAATAGTCATAGGCAAAGCAAAAGCATTGGAAGATAAAAGCAACCAAATTCCCTGTAATTCCATCTTTGGCATAGATTCCGGGACAGGTATTATAAGCAATAACTAATTTATTATGACTTCCAGCAGTATTGTCACAGACCCATCCACAACAAAATATTCCTAAAATCAATCTACCACGTCGCTTTATATAATTAAATTCTCAAAAGCCACATTGCCCATACATACTCCTAACTATATATATATATATATATATATATGTGATATACTTTTAATTGGAATGAATGTAATTCATTAATATTTATTACTAATTTTCACAATACTAATTTTAGTTGTCATCTTCAACAGAAAAAAAAAACCACGTTCCAATCCAAACAAATAAAAATTAATAAATGTAACATTTTTTTTTAACTCCTATCAAATTACACTCAATTGGATCTCGACAAACCCATAATGACTCATGTGCAAATAGGACCTTTTGGATTTTCCATGTTTGTAAAAGATTCAAAATGCCAATGTCGTACTCATACGTGATACGACCAACCAATATAACACTCCTGTTCTTTTTTATTTTTATGTTTAATAAAGATTTCTTTTTGTTGAATCTAACAAAAATATATTATTTTACCGTCTTATAATTTATATTTAATTTATATCTACAAAATAAATTTTAAAAGTAGTCATTAACTAAAACTTCAAAGAATACATTACCCATATGTCAACATAAAGATTTAAAAATGCATTAAATGAATATATAATTTTGATTTCTTAACGCACAAATATATTAAAGACTATATATATATATATATATATATATATATATATATTCTTTTGTGT